ATCCGGCCCGCAGGCCGTAGTTTGCCCACGGCTGCCCCAGGCCCATAGAGAGAACAAAGCCGGCAGCCAGGGGAGGGAGGTTGGCAATCTGTTACCAGGGAATGAGTGGCTTCTCCCCTGTATCCAGGGGAAAACCAGGGTACAGCAACCCAACCACTTGGGTGGAAGCCATAGCCAAAGGTTGGATCACCTTTGCAGCTCCCCAATATATACCTGGACAACACAACCAGTCAGTGCCAGACCTGTCACAGTCCTTTAATGTGAGAGAATGGCTACAGAGTTCTGATAATATCCAACTCATATCCCTGGACAATTGGGTTGGCTTTGTTGGGAGTGATGTTTTTTCTTTTTTGAACATATGGGTACCCAGGTGCTCAAATGTCCGTAACTCAGGGTGAGCCACATGAACCCATCCCAAATCTGAGCATAGCCACCCATGGCTCAGATGGTAGTATTTTTTTAAATATATTTATTGATTTCAGAGAGGAAGGGAAAGGAAGAGAGAGAGAAAACATCAATGATGAGAGAGAATCATTGATCGGCTGCCTCCTGCACGCCCCGCACTGGGGACCGAGCCCACAACCCAGGCATGTGCCTTTGACCTGAATCAAACCTGGGACCCTTCAGTCCATAGGCCAACGATCTAGCAACTAAACCACACCAGCTAGGGCTTCCCTATGTTTTTATTTAGTTAATTCTGCCTCTTTCTCCCTATAAAAACCATGGGGGGGGGGGAGACCATGGCTATTTAATTCATCATTAAGATCTTAAATTTAAGCCCAGAACATGGTAGAGTGCAATAAACATTAGTTATGTCAACTAATGAACACTCTGCTAACATGAATGACAGGTTGGCTATAAGATACAAATAGAAATGACGGGATTTCAGGTTGCAACTTCCCACTCCATAACCATTTATTACCTAGAGGCTAAGCCACTCAACCCTAACCTCAGGCTCAGCCCATTCCCATCTTTTGGGGAATGGTTCCCAATCCTAGATGGACATCCTAAGGGGTTCTCAATCCTGGGAGCTTTTAAAAATTACTTCTGCCTGATGCCACCCCCAAGGGTTCTGATTTAATTTCCTGAGTGCTAACCTCATGCCTGGCCCTGGCCTCAGGTTTCTTCCAGTCTCCTGCAGCGTCAGACTGTTACACTTCATTCCTGTTTCCAGCCAGGTGGTGGGAGTCTGCGCCATGGCAGAGGTGGGTGGATGGGACATATTCCAACAATCGTGTCTCCTGGTCTGTGTTGGATTCATGCTCTATATGTATATGCATCTCCAAGATGCGCAGAGGGAAAGAGTGGCTCTGCCGTAGAGGCAGGAAGGCTTCAAGCTGAAGGTGACCTTTGAGCTGGTTCTGCAACAAACAGCGAGGGTTTTCCAGACAAGGAAGAGGCTGGACCTTTCAGGCGAGAGGAACTATGTAAAGGATTAGGAGAACCACCAGAAGACTTTGTGTTTGTGTAGATCATAATGTATAATAAACGTACTGATTCCCAAAGAATGGGTGGAGAAAGTGAGCCAAAGGGGCTCCTCTCATCAAGGAGCATGACTGTCTTCCCCACACAGAGCCTGGGGACCCACTCAGCCAAACTTCCCAGCCTCTCCAAGCACCAGAGAGTGAGTCACCCCCGGCATTCCCCTGCCACTAGCTGTCCCCAAAGGATGTGGGTAGAGAGTCTCCACGGCATCCCAAGAGCAGAGGAGAGGGGAGGAGGAGTCGGGAGGAAAACAGTAAGAGGCCATTTCCTCAGGGACCAAGGAGAGTATAAGACCCCCCTGTTCCTACCTCTGGGATGAGACATGTCCCTGTTATCTCCCCTTGCCGTTCTCACCCTAAAAGCTGGCCTGGAGCTGCTCTGCCAGAAGAAGTCCCCACCCACCTCCGTCTTCTAGGTATGTCCTACCAACCCAATAACCACACACCGTCATGGGGACAGCAGCTGGCGTCTGGACCAAGACAGCAAATGTCTGTGTGCCGGGGAAGCATGAGCTAAGAACTCAAACTTGACAGGAAATGGGCCAAGCCACAGATTGAGAAACACCAGGTCAGCCTCCCCAGACTTAAATGTGCTCATGAGTAGAGTGGAGCCTGGAGAGAAAGCATCGCTCCAACCCAGATTGCAGCAGAGAGAAGGGCTGAGAGGCTTAGAGAACCCCCTAGAAAGCTAGAAACCTAAGTGTCAGAGCTGGAAACGCTGTCCAGTATAACCTAAAGCGTTACTACTCAATCTGTGGTGCTCAAACCAACAGCAGCAGCATCACCTGGGAGTCTGCGAGAAATGCAGAAACTCGGGCCCCTCCCCAGTCCTTCTGAGACAGAATGCATTTAACAAGAGTCCCAGGTGATTTCTATGCACATTGAAGATTGAGAAGCTCTGCTGCTCGGGGTCTCAAGTCAAAATGCATATCAGAATCAGGGGGCGGCGGGGGGTGGGGGGATGGGAGATATCTGTAATACTATCAACAATAAAAAATGTGTGTGTGTTTTTAAAAAAGAATCACCTGGAATATTTTTTTCAGGTATAGATTTCTGAGCCCTGCTGTAGACCAGCTGAATAAGAACTTCTGGACACTGTGCACTTTCTTTTTATAAAGCTCCACAAGTAATTCTAACAACAGGAGTCCACAGAGTAGACTGGGGACCACTGACCTGGTGTGTTTTTCTCAATCTAAAGATGAGAGGACTGAGGCAAGACAGTGGCAACAACAAACTTAGTCACTATTAAGAGACCTAAAATAGGGATTTTGCTTGGAGACAAAAAGAGTTTGATTTGGAGCCAGATCTGAGCTCAAGCCCTAATTCTGCCCTTTCATCACTGTATATCTTGGGACAAGTCTCCTTCCTTCTTTGGAACTCAGGTTTCTTACCTTCAAGGAAAGATACCCTAGATTGACAGACTCACTCCTCCTGGGCAATAAGGAAACAGATAAATTAATGGAGAATTAACTCTATATGTTTTGTGTGTGCACACACACACACATACACACACACACTTCATAACAGCTACTTAACTGAAGTTTGGAGGTCCTTGAGCTCAAATTTTCCATAGCAACTTAAAAGCCCTGAAGTCTAACTGTTCCCATTTTACAGATGGAGAAATGGAGAGGTGCTCAGTTCCACTCATCACTTTGTGAAGGTGAGTAGTGTTTGCTTTTCATGTGGACAGACAGAAACACACAGGGGTTTGCCACCAAATGACTTCTGGATGCAGAATTCCAGCCAGTCGGCTGGCATCACTCCTGGAGAACATGTAGTTGGGTGGAGCTGGAACCCCAAAGTTTTCTCTTCCCCTAGAGGTTGTCTGAACTCCACTAGGGACCCCTCCACACACACACCAAGGAGAGGGGAAGACCCCTAAAATTCTGTGTTCCTAAGTATAGAGGAAAGAATTAGGCTTGGCCCGAAATGCTCGATGAGGTGAGGGACACAAACACTTCCTTCATTTAACAAATACATATTGAACACCTACTACGTGCCAGGCAATGTCCTCAGAACTAATTCACTTTGGAATGCTTTAAAAGTAAAATAGACAGACAGGGCTCCTGCGCTTATGAAGGTCAAATAGTGTGATGTCTCAGCGTTAGAAACTAAAGTGTTAAGAGGTGATACCGCTTGTGGAAGGTCACACAGCAATTTTGTTGCACAATGAAAACTGAAACGCAAGTGTAGCTGACTCCCACAACAAAGTGCTTTCTCCTCCAAGATGGTCATGACCTTTCTCTCCTTTCCCTCTTGCTGTGCCCCCCTCCCATCTCTGTCCAGCAGGATGACTCCAGAGAATGTCACCGGGGCCAGGGTGGTCCCTGCTGAATTCATCCTCCTGGGCATCACAGGTCGCTGGGACCTGCGCCTGACCCTCTTCCTGGTCTTCCTGCCCGTCTACCTGCTGAGCCTGCTGGGGAATGTGGGCATGGTGCTGCTGATCCGCGTGGATGCCCGGCTGCACACGCCTATGTACTTCTTCCTGGCCAACCTCTCCCTGCTGGACGCCTGCTATTCCTCCGCCATTGGCCCCAAGATGCTCGTGGACCTGCTGCTGCCCCGCGCCACCATCCCTTACACGGCCTGTGCCCTCCAGATGTTTGTGTTTGCGGGGCTGGCTGATGCCGAGTGTTGCCTGTTGGCGGCCATGGCCTATGACCGCTACGTGGCCATCGGAAACCCTCTTCTCTACACCACGGCCATGTCACGGCGTCTGTGCCTGACCCTGCTGGGAGCCTCGGGCCTGGGGGGCGCAGTGAGCGCCTTGGTCCACACGACCTTCACCTTCCGCCTGAGCTTCTGCCGCTCCCGGGAGGTCAACAGCTTCTTCTGCGACATCCCTCCGCTGCTGGCCATCTCCTGCGATGACACCAGCCTCAATGAACTCCTCCTCTTCGCCGTCTGTGGCTGCATCCAGACGGCCACGGTGCTGGCCATCGTTGTGTCTTACGGTTGCATCGCCGGGGCCGTGATCCGCATGCGCTCGGCCGAGGGCCGGTGGCGGGCGGCCTCCACCTGCG